TTATACATCTTGGCTTCGCTGACCCACATGCTGTGCGCTCGTGTTACGGAGGTTCTTTCTTTGCGAGGAAGCGACTTCAACTGGCGCATGCAGTGGGTTACCATCCGGGCACTTAAGAAGCATCCTCAAGCAAACTTGACTAGATGACCTGCAAGAGTTTTGGTTAGTTCTCTTGTTGGAAAAGCACCAAAACGTGGGTTTCTTATGATTGGCTATGATTGGCTTATTTTGGCATCCCAGGTGAAAAAAATGCTGCTCTCCGCTACACTTCCAGCTTTGCGCAGTTTGCGGGCCAAAGGAAAAACCTACAAGAGGACCCGAGCGTGTGGCGCGCGTGGGCGTGTGACTTTTCAAGACTGTTGGAAATGGCCAAAAGGCCAGGGCTACTTGTTCCCAAACAGGCTGAACAACGGCCATTTAACAAAAGACATTGCTTGCCATGCTATTGTCAAAGCCAGAATGAGTTTCACTGCACCAAAAGGTTTGTCAGCAATGCTGGACACAAGCCGAATTCGGACTCATAGTGGTAGACACCGTATGATAAACGATTTGAAATCGAGTGGAGTTCCAACAGAAGCTGCAATGCTATATGCTAGGATTAAAGACCGGAAGACATTTGACAAGTATGGTCAACTAGATCAGGAGCAATCTGGCAAATTGCTTAATAGAAATCAGAATCTCAAAAGAACCTTGAAGCAAATGTACAGTTGAGATTCAGGCTGCACAGCGACGAGTGAATTAAGCTGGACTGGTTGGCTAAATGTGCCTCCTTGTGATTGAAAAAGATTGAAAAGCAAGCGAATTAGATGAGCAAATAACATGTCTGGATGTTTTTTTGTATTGGAGTGTTAGCCTAAGCCAAACGTCACATCGTTACGTGTCATACGCGCGCACTGACTAATTACTGGTGCAGTAAAAGTGAAGCGGACAATGAAGCAGCACTTTTCACACAAACCCCTTCAAATCTTGCACTGTACGGCAACTGAATTTACTTTCCTAGCTGCACACAATCATCACTTCTTTGCAGAAACGCCGATGGCTGGCAGCAAAGACTTCAGCAATTGTTCAATCACCGTCAAGGTGAAGCTATTCCCTGCCATCTCAGCCAGCTTTTTTGAACTGACACCTGTAGGGCATGCCACGCAAGTAGCAGGGATGCCTTGAGCACGAAGGACTTCATAGGGAGTAGCATAGCGCTCCTTGTGGGTTAACCACAAGCTGTTCGAGTGGCTCTTTGTGATTGTCGGAAATTTGTTCTGGCTGCAAGACACTCCAAAGCCACCCGCCAAGTCCAACACCCATGGATCCTTGCGGAAGTTGATGCCTTTCTCCTTCAACTGCTTCATGCCATCGTGCAAATTTTTCAAGTGTGTGGTGCATAGTGAGTCCAACTTAGTTTTGGCAACATCTGAAGCGAGGACCGCATCCAAGCCAACCGTGGGAAGTTCAGAAGGCCACTGCCATGGTTGCTTCAACCTATCCTTCCTGACAGCAATGATGTAAACCCTGCACCGAGTCGCGGGTACTCCGTGAGAATAGGAATCGATCACCTTCCAGTCCACATAGTACGCCTTCCGGCCAATGGACTGCAACAGCCACAAAACCTCAGCAAAGAACTCCTTGTACTTTGCCGACGTTGCAAGATCCTTGACGTTCTCCATTAGAATCAGGTCTGGGAGGATGGCGTCCAACATGTTCAGCTCAGAATAGACGACCTGGCCCCGCTTGTCTTTGCTTCCTTCCTGTTTGCCCTGGCGAGAAAAGCTTTGGCAAGGAAAGCCTGAAGTTTCAATCAAGCAAGCTTGCGGGTTCCGCTGCCTCTCTTCTTTGAGCTCAAGCAACTCTGTCCTGCTGCGCTTCGTGCAGTCAGCGAAGACCTTTTCGATGTTGGGATGGCAAGCTTTGAGCACCTGGCGGAAGACGTTGTCAATTTCACTAGCAAACCAGTGACGATATCCCTTGCCCTTGAGAACTCTTCCCAAAGCCATCGCGCCGACGTCCAAGCCAGAGCAGTCACTACAATACCAAACAGCACGGCCGCCTTTTGGAAGAAGGCGTGGCTCCACACAAAGCTGAGCATGGGATGGGTGCGGACGCTGCACATTCTCCATGTCTTTCTTCACACCCTTAGATTTTGCTAGTGGCTTGGCGGCTGGGCGCTTCATTCTGAAAGCTAAACTTAAGCGCCAACTCAACCTAAAGCTTGAACCCTCAGAGTCAGAGATGGAGTGAATTCTCAGGGACAATCAAACGAAGCCAAAAACTCTCCTAACCTCTTCTCCCAAATACTCTCCACAAGTGGATCAAACTTTGCAAAAGTGAATCAATCTCTCCAAAACCTCTCGCTAAATCTGTAAAGGTAAAGCTCTTAGTCAAAAGGACATCTTGCAAGTCTCACACGATTTCGCAATGAGGCACGCTGCACAGTTGTGAATAACTCCAAGCGTTTTCCACATGCGTGCGCGACATGCACAGGTATGCTGTTTAGGATAGACTCACGCGACGTGCGCTCGTCAGACTGTACAGTGGATGTTGTGGGCGGTTGTAAAGTTCACACCGTTACACACTCAGTGAACCCTAACCAGAAGGTCATCTTATTTCAAGTGACGTTGATAAGCCAGGCCATGCTTCAGAATCAAACATGAAATAAACCAACACCATTTTATATGAAACATTATTATGACACCAACACCATGTTTCATTTTCCAACACAAACGCAAA